TGTGTGTGTGTGTGTGTGTGTGTGTATGTGTATGTTAGACCGGCTTAATGTGTTTATGTAGTATGTTAGACTAGTTTAAGTGTTTATGTAGTTAATAAAACCTTACTTGTATCACACTTGACGTGTTCATTGTTTACTCATAACCGGAGTCAATAATCATGCAGATTTACGTTACAAGCTTATAGAATTGTACAGTAAGAAAGTTATTTCCCTTAACCAGGAAATTAACGTTCTTAGAATTGACAAGACAGTTGACCCTGAGTGGTCAGCTAAATATCTACAGCGGATCTTAATGATAGAACTAGTGATTAGAACTAAAACTTGGTAACCATGAATTAATGCATATTTGTCATTTTAACTGAACTTAGGACTGGTGGTGGTGTTTAAGATATTGTTGGTCATAGGTAATAGTAATTATTATTAAAAGATACTACTACTACTACTACTACTATTATCTGCAGGGTTCATGTATATTAATCATGTTGTCAGCGTTCGCGCGTACTGATTTGCTGAAATCAAAACAGGGACGGTAATAGATGAGTGCCTGCCAACGAGAGCTGTTCGCGCATTAGCTCCACCCACTGCCGAGAAACCGGCATATCTTCTGCTTCTTCTTAAAAGCTGAATAAATCTAAATGAACTCTGTTATTTTGACAGGAAAATACAACAAAGAATATGGTTTCCATGTAGCGCGTCGATTCAGCGTGGTATACAAGACTCTCGTTCTCTCTCTTTGCATGTGTGAGAAACACAGGGCTATCAGTAAAGCGACGGCGAGTCGTGCGCCTTCACACTAGTTTACGGTACGTCAAATACAGGTGCGCTGCGTGCTACATACTGCGCATCCATTGAGTACATGACATGATCCATTGAGCGCATCCAAATAGTACAGATCGCTTGACGGAGAGCGAAACTCTCAAGCGCTCAGTCAGCGTGTTTATCAAGTGAAAATCTGTGTTGAACGCCTCTCACACACATACTGGCGTGTAAAATCTAAGAATTTATTAGCCAATGGCTAATGTTAGACATTATTTAGTCGCCCAGAGTAAGATTTAGTCGCATATATGCGAGTGATTTACTCGCAATGTAGAGGGTTGGGATGAGAAACGGGGTGGAAAAAGGTCCTAAATCACAAAAAATGTTAAGCTTTTCGTCCAAAAAACTATAGTAATATTATAATTGCACCTAAGGGAACGTAATAAAACGAACCAAAAAACCCATGTCATGACCCCTTTAATTTCTAGCAATAGGAATATACAACATTATATTTAGTTTTAGATGATTTTACCATTACGCTGCATTAGAAGCCTTTCTGAAATCAGTTTAGTGAGGTATCCTTGTGCACAAACGCTTTAATGCCACCGATCCAGAACAAATGACGCAATACATTTTCTACCATGAGATCACTGTGATGATGATGATGACATCTTTCTGTTACGGCTTCTCGGAATGGCTGCCTTCAGTTTCACAGCACAAAGCTTCCAATTACATCGGCTCTACGGTAAGTTCTCAAAATGGCTTTCAGCATATGGGAAGTGAGATGTGTTCATATGGCACGCTAAATGATACTGACATGACACACTGCT